CCATACGCATATGCGGTGAAGGAGGTGCCTGCATGCACGTGCTTTCTTAGAGCAAATTCATGAAGTCCTCGAAAGTCCACAAACCGTTTGCATTTGGCTGCGTTGCCTTCAGCTCTCGGACGACCTGTACGTACACCGGAGCAGTGGCTGCAGTAACGCCTTCGAGTTGAAGTATGTATGCCGCACCAGAGGGGACTTCAAAAGTATTCCCGTGTTCATCGATTCCGGAGACCAACTCCGTCTCATCGAGCACAGACCCAGGCGGGGGCGGAGCTCCAGAAGCGGTAGCAGCAGCCGTAGCACTCAACAGCGATGCCACTGCTGCATCTGCCCGCTTCTTCTGCGCCTCATAAACACCTTTTAAGTCTGACTTCGAATCAAAATGCAAAATCGTTAACAAGTCGTTCGCAGATACAAACCCGTCGACGTTGCGATCCAGCAATCGAAATGCCACGCTGAGGAAAAACGGAAGAAATGCATATGGCAATAGGAAATTAAAATAGTCGAAAACAAAACGAATAGAGAGAAATAATAGAAGGACAGAAGAGAAAGGCCAACGAAATAACGCAGTTATGCGAGGAAACGAACCCCCCCCAAAANAAACAATTATAGATAAATTTGTATTCACACTTTATACAACTATAAACAAATAATTATACCTGCATGTTGGTGTTCTTTCGAGAAAATCTAGACGGGTCATCGAGGCGGCCAAGAATTCGTCAAACTCCACCGACCCACTACCGTCGGTGTCTAGGCACACCAAGGCCTCCTCCATCAAGCACGACGGGCGCTCTGTTTTCCCTGTTTCACCAGCTGCTGCTGCTGCTGCATCAGCTGCCGCCTGTGCCTTTCTCTGTCCTTCAGCCTCGTCTGGTGTTTCTTCGCCTGACTGACATCGCCCAGACGGGTGCGTCTCAGCAGAAACAGAAGTCGAGTTTGCGCTGTTACTCGACGCAGCAGCGGGTGCCTTGAAGGCGTTGTCCAGCACTTCACAAAAAGGCAGCAAGTCTGACAAATGCGGCCCCTCCCCAGGAGCCAAACCAGCGAACGCCAGTATCGTCTGAAGAGGCGAAGCCGGCAAACTATTGCCCCTGCAGCTGCCGCTGATGCTGCTGCTGCTGTTGCTGCTGCCGCTGCTGCTGCTGCTGCTGCTGCTGGTGTTGACGTCCGTTCTGCTGCTGCAGCACGCATAGCTGCCGCTCGAGCTTAGCTGTGGCAAGCCAGGCATCAAGTCGATGCCGTCGCTGTTGTTTACATCTCCGTCTCTAAGGAATGACTCCAACCGGAAGAAATCGCGAACGACTTTCAGACTATCGAGCAAACATTGCCCTGAATAGGAGAAAACAGCAGAAACGAAAAGTAGAGAAACAATGTCAATCAAAAAAAAAAAA